GTCTGTTTTATGGCCACTGGAAGCTTAAACTCCAGGCTTCACTTTGGGTGGCCTTGATGGGGTTCAGACATACAAGGAGCCTCCGGGCAGTCCCGGTGCCCAAACAGGTCTTTCCTTGTGTGAATGTTAGAGGGAGTCATTTGCTTTGGATTTTCTCCAACCCGCTCAAACTGGTGGAATCAAAAATAGCAAATCATTTTAGGTTGAATACAAATCTTTAGAGATTGGCAGTTATCAAATGCCTTCCCAAATGCAGTCTGTTTGTTACACTGAAATTTTTTGCTGATGCTAAGAAAAAAATCACCTTGTCAAGTTAACCAAACGGGTCTGATTTCCCAGAAGGTCACTCCTCGGGTCCAGGACTGCAAGGCTGACTTCAGGTAGAGAGCTACTTTTCTACATAAACAACGGAGGAACTTTAGCTTATATTAAAATAGCGATCAAAATGCTTATATTTTATGCAAAATTAATATAACCTTAAGTTAGATGTTATTATTATGCAGTATCCATCCCCAGTCCTGATGGTACCAGCAGTGGCCTCTCTTCTCAGGAGGAGAAAATTCAGCTTCGTTTGTTGAATGCGCTTTATGACCTCTGTGCCTCCTGTGAGTCGGATCTCAACTTCCCAAGACTAGAATTAGTGAAGCACATTCTGAAGCCTGGAGGCTGAGGTGGGAGGATTGCCTGGGGCCGGGAATTCAAAGCTGTAGTGCACTGTGATTGTGCCTGTGAATAGCCACCACACTCCAGCCTGGACAACATAGCAAGACCTTCTCTCTTAAAAACAAACAAACCAACAAGCAAACAAACAAACAAAAAATACAGCATGTGCCATAAACCAGCCCAGAGAGACCTTTTTTTTCTTTTTCTTTTTGAGACAGAGTCTCGCTCTGTCGCCAAGCTGGAGTGCAGAGGTGCAATCTCTCACTGCAACCTCCGCCTCCTGGGTTCAAGCGATTCTCCTGCCTCAGCCTCCTGAGTAGCTGGGACGACAGGCGTGCACCACCATGCCCGGCTAATTTTTGTATTGTTAGTAGAGACAGGGTTTCACCATGTTGGCCAGGATGGTCTTGATTTCTTGACCTTGTGATTCACCTGCCTCAGCCTCCCAAAGTGCTGGGATTATAGGCGTGAGCCATTGTGCGAACCGAGGGGCCTTTTTAAACTTAGTTTGACTTGGGCTTTCCCAGTGTTACCTGAATGAGGAAATCTTTCTCTTCTGCAGGGCACCCATGAACTAGTGATTGACAGGATGAACCAGAGGCGTGCATTGTTGCATTTTAATCCTATTTCCTCCGGGGACAATTAGGGCACCACTGCTCGCAGCCGGTCAGACCTGGTCCAAAAGTCACTTCTGGATTTTCCTTTTCTCACCTGT